TCTGAGGTAGTCACATCATAGTCCAGTACACGCTTACGTGTGTACTCGGGTGTTTGCGACAAATGTTGTGTTGGATGTTGTAGTGTGAAAAACTGTAGCGTGGAAAACGCATGTGTTATCAATAGGAGCGCCACATGCAAGCTATCATTAAATCATTGCTATGCGCACGAGGTTCGCGTAAATTTCCGTTAAAGGAATGTCTGTCATATCATGTAAAGCAGTTCAATTTCATGGGGGTTAGTTCCTCATCAGCATAAAAAGTGATAAGTGACCAGCCTATAAAATAAGTTTTACCTAAATGCGCAAGATTACATTAGATTAAATGTCATAGTTATCTGGCGCACGCGGCGAGGCACTGTTCTGAAAGCTTGAGTTAATCCCAAAGCGTTGAGTTCCTCACACTGGTAAAATAACGCGGCTAAATCAAGGTAAAACACACCAACCACGGGGCTCCAGACGAAGCTCTAACTTTGCCAAATATACTCTTGAAAGGCGTAACAGACGCGAAAGCAATACTACTGTTCCAATAAATGGAGACATACAGTTTTCCCAGTCTAACTTTGCTTGACTGCTTTCCTGGTCACATGTAATCTATCTTTAAAAAAATAGTTCATAAAGGGGCAGTTTACAGACATTGCCTTTCTCCGAATCCGTGTCTGTAGTACGCCAAATGCTCGCAAAACGAACATATGTTGCGGCGCACAGACACACAGATCGACGTGGATGAAGCCCAACTTCGGTAGAGCGCTGAAGTTATACTGACCACATTCGTGATGTGGCGAAACGCGTGGTGGTAGCTTTGCCGCCCAGAATAACTATTCGCATATGGCTCGTCAAAGAGGGTCATTTGGTTATTGGCTTGATGGTGTCAGCCTGGTTACAGGGCAGCTGATAGTCGTGTAGTCGCTTAAAACAACGAACAACAAAGGTCCATTCGTTCTATTTGGATAAGGGACCGGATCAAAATTGATTCGTTGAGCCTGCATAACCACGATGGGATGGTAGGTTCGGAGTGCGACCAATATATCACGCCACCACAGAATCAGATAACAAGTCCGTTCCAAGAAAATTTTCGTGTTCGTATTGCTTCTCACTTTTTAGCCGAACTGGACCTATAATCTAAACTTAGTATGCCGCATCAAAAACAACTGTGTTGCTCAATTTTTTTTTCTCACGAGACCTTGTATCAAAGCAATTTGGGTCGCAACTTCAAGTAAAACAAGGTTAGGTTCGTAGTCCACCATGGGGACCAAATGCCGCTCAGCATGAAATAGTCCGCGAGCCCGGTAAATCAGTGTTGTTAATGCCATGTTTGGGTAGTGAAGAGAAAAGCGTCAGGGCTTATGCGTGCCAGAAAAAATGAGAAAAGTAAAAAACGAAATGGTTGACCCCATGCCTTTGAGTACCCTCATTTGAGGATATTGTTTTGAGGCTGCGGGGTCAGGTTACCCCTATGCACCCTTCATGTCAGCACCACCACGAGGATGGGTCAAAGGGGATAGTCTTGATGTGATGGCCAATTTTTCTAAACGCTTTTTAATATTCCGCCCAAAACTATTGGGCGAAAGGGCCCAAGCCATCCTTGGGAGCCCAACTCAACGTTGGGGGGCGGGCAGAACCCTCACAAAAGAATACAAATCGGCACCCGTAGGAATGAGTTTTCCGGTGAGATGATTCCGTGCGATATGTTTTCTACGCGAGCACCAAGTGGAGCTCGAAAGTTTTGTCTTTCTCCACAGCTTTGTTGGATCGGTCTGGCGTTGCAACCAAACTAAATCACCTTGTCCGCACGGACTAGGAGAGCTCTGGCGAAAAAGTTGCAAAGCACAACAGGCGGATTAAAATGCGCGGCAGCAGGATTTGAGAGATTTTGCAGGGCACCATGACGCGTCAGGCCCAGGGTCACGCGATTCGTGGATAAGACGGATTATACGTCCCGTGCAAAGATTAACCAGTTGTATAGTGCAGCGAACCACTCTGGTGTACACGTAAAGCCCTACTGCAGATGGTCAGAGAAAGGGATGGCGCATTCTTCAAGCACGCATACCGCTAACCCGCTCGCAGAGCTGGATGGTACCATGCGCTCTAACCATTACGCAAGGTGACGTGCTGTAAAACGGTAACACGTCCTGTGAGCCAACGCGTCGCGCACAACTTTTGCAGATCACTTTGGGCTCACACCATTCACTTGCTGGCAAGACAACAGCAGGTGGAAGAGCTTCATCTGCGCTGCCACATCGCTGCCGCACATGAACGGCGCAAGCACGCCTCACAGCCCCAGGGTAGCGCATGCATGCCAGAGGTCAGGCCACACTTTGCGCGGCCCCCAGCCGTCACAGCAGACCTCTGCCGCTCGGCCGGCACCGTTGCCCCGCAGCCGTGAGGTCGCATAGGCTGTGCTGCAGAGGCCGGCATCGCGGACGGATGTATGTGCAGAGGTGCGGCTGTTGACACGAGGGCCGACCGGCTCCATCGAACCCGTGGCTACGTCACGCCGGCGGCTGCGACGGAAAGCGCTGGATATGACGCCGAATCTGACGCATGGCGGAGGCAGTCGTGTCCGGTGAGCTGGACGTCGCATTGGGAGGGGGGGGGGGGGGCAACAAATCAGACCAAGCTCGAAAATACGCCAGATTTTCAACCATGCAGAGAAATGGATGATTTAAATACAATCAATATTGGCGCTGGCGACTTGGTAGATTAATTCAGTACGATTACACTAATTCGATAGGCCCGACGTTGAAAACAGAATGCGTCAACGGTACAAGTGGATGGGCTCTCGGGTGATTTCATATTCAGTTTCCATTCAATCTGAGCCACATTCAGAGCCACAAGGTTTATTATTCGCCGGGATTGAGGGATTGCAAGACATGGGATAATGCTGCGACAAATGCTCCATTGGTTACCGGCCACATGATATCACGCAATCATCGTGTGACGCAAAAGGCCTGCGCGCTTCATATCCGCGAAATGCAGATCCGGACTGAGCGGCTGTGATGGGGTGACGGGCCCGCAACGGAGTTGCACTTCGGCTCGCGCCAATTCACCACCCGCCGTCAGAGGGCGCCATCTGGACTTTTGGTAGCACCGGACGCTGACCACCTGGGGGCCATTCTCCGCCCCAGCCCGGACAATATCGGTGCCAGCCGGGGCCGTTGTGCTTCCGGGACACTGGGTTGGAGAGGGAGGAGGAAAGCAAACTCAACTCGTGGTCGACGACCGCAGGGTATTACAAATGCTGATTTCTCTTCGGCTTTTGGTGACTTTTGCGCCACTTCGAAACAAACTGACGAGTGCTTGATTGTTAAAGCTTCGTCTGTGGATTACGTGGGAGAGAGAAGGCAGGAAAAATGTGAAAAGGCTCTTTGCGTTTTTTTTTCTATACCATGTACTTAACTGCTTGCATTTCCTGGAACCGCACTTCAGCGCAATGTCTTACGTGTAGAGTGTTCGCTGTGTGTAAGAGTTAGGCTGTGAGTTTGGGGAGCTTAACTGCAAGTGGGGAGCTTAGCTGCAGGTGGGGGCTCGCCTGCAATCTCAGCCCCCTCCCCCAGCCAGCCAAATATAACCATACGCCCTTTAGCCATAACGCATCCAGCCACGTCGCGATAGCGTGGCTCTTCCATGCGGAGGAATTCCGTATTTTTGTCTTTGACCGCGATGAGCTCCGCTGTAACGCTCGCGTCGTACGCCCCCGTCCGCCGCTGCTGCTTCTTCTGCTGGGGGCGTGGCAAGGCCGTGCGATGAGCCCTTTAGCCCATTTTGTGCCGCGCCGGTGTCGTCCCGCTCCGCCGTCCACCTCCGCCGCTGTTGGTCTTCGCTTCTGCGTCACCTTGCGTCGGCCTCAACAGGATCAGATCAGATCAGACTCCCGCACTTCAGATGAGACTCTCACAGAAGAGACGGGCTGCGAAATACATCCACGATGATTATCGTTTCGTTATATGACATCGTGGTACTCATCTCCGGCCATCCCACGTATTCCAAATTGCGTGGGGCCAAATACTCCGAGTTACTGCAGCCATAACGAATCTAGCCTCACTCGACTGAAATTCTCTCATCGAATGAACCATACGCCGCCCTTTGCAACGTACAGCCGTGGCATGGAAGAACGACAGGTGGTCGGCTGCAGGCTGTGAGGGATCCGTTCGTTAACTCACTCCGACATTAGGCACATGGCCGCGACTAAGCCCACGCTGTTCCGCTACGCCTCTGTGGTTATTCCCATGACCGACGGCGGGCAGGCGTCATTGTACGCCCGCTGCATCTACCTGCTCCCCTCGTTCCAGAAATACAGTGCAACGTGAGACGATTTCCTCCAAACAGAACGGGAAAAGCCAACGCGTATCACCTTGGACAATGAATGGTCATTCCGGAACACCCGTCACATAACGCCTCATTCCGAAATACCAGTGGAATTCCATAAAATATCAACTTTAATGCGTACCAACAAATTATCCACTGGTCACATATTTTTGCCCTCAAAGATGGGTGACGCTGAAGAGCCCTCAAAATTATCAGCCCTATGTATCAAGCTCTTCAGTTTTGCGGTTTTCGCATTTCATTAAAATCTCCTAGTTGCAACAAATAACACGATCAATGTAAACAACGGCACACGAGTTGTCGACATGCATTTCAAACAAACATAAACACATGGTAGAAGCTTCCGGCATCTTGCAGTCCACTGTCACCGACGGACGGCGAAGCGCGGCAACCTACCCCGCCTCCCAACAGCGCAAACAACAGCACCGCGGAACAGCTCCTTGCGCGTCGGAGAGCCCCACCACCGACCGGGGGAACGCTCCACACACGTCGAGCACGAGTCCAAAACCACGGGAGTTCTGTCACGGCGGACAGATCGACAGATCGAGGCCATACTGCCGTGCATCGCTCGCTCCCATCATCCCTCGCCACCGGTGGTCCGGTCTCGGGACGCGCCGGTCGACCCCGCGGCACGCCGTCTTGTCCGCTTGGCTGACATGCCGGGTTCCACACCCGCCCACCGCCGCCACCGCGGGTCACTCCTCGTCATCGCCCATGCTCTGGAGGAGCCGGCTGGCGCGTCGGTACGCCCGCTTGGAGGGCTTGGCGCGGCCGAGCGCCTCGCACGCCTGCTCGCGGCTCTGGCCCTCGGCTCGCAGCGACGGCCACCGGTCGCGCGCCTCCACCACGGCCAGCAGCTCGTCCGAGAGGCGGCGACGGGCGGCGCCGCGCACCGACGCCGCGTACTCCATCACCAGCGGAAAGTCCTCCCGGCTAATCTGAGGGTCAGCCATGGGTCACGGGGGTCACACCGACACCGAGTACTCCATCACTGACGTGAAAAATCCTCTTGTGTCCTTACCATGATACGGTATGTAACGATACTTTAAGAAAGCCGACTGATTGTACGTGAATTTATCGCAAAACATTGTGCTAGCTGTATCAGCAGTCAGCACATCTGAAGAAATGCTGCTGGCTTTCTAAGGGGCACCAAAACTTTTTTCCTTAATACAACTCTGGATTGCAGCATTCCAATGCGCTATCTTCAACCAACATGCACAATATTCTCCCACATCATAATTCCTCATCTTACCAAAACTGCAAACATGAAAGGGTATGTGCTAGCTCTCTCCACACAATGTCACGCACACATCGCTTCATGCCGAACAAGCCGGGATGACGAAGTCGGCCAGATTTTTGGGGGGAGTTTTTTTTTTGGTGTTGAAGGACTTAATTCCAGCTTCTCATCAGATGAAATTGCGCTTTCAGCGCCCACGCTGAGCAGCGCTCGTTGCGTGCACCCTTTCCCCGCCATCCGATCATGAAACTCGGGGCGATGTCAGAACTTTGCCGAAAAACTCAACGTACCACAACATTCTACACAGCCCATCCTGCTCTCCGTCGTCACCTGACATTTAGCGCGGACTTTGCCACTGACTGCGGGTCATTCCCATCAGGGATAGATAGTGAGTGCTTTGAGCCCACCGCACCACAGGTGTACATGTCAAAAGGCAAGTGCTCCATGTGAGTTAACAGCACAGCTTTTGCCAGCAGCCTTGAAGACTTAGTGAAATCAACCAGTTGGAACAAGAAACAGACTCAGCACCAATCATAAGCAAACAATATGATCATTCCACTATTCAAAACTTAACTTTTGTGGCATTTCCCGGTCAGAGTTGCCTGACTTTAGTGTCGTCCAGGAGATTTGCCTTACTTTAGTGTCATCCAGGAGATTTGCCTTACTTTAGTGTCATCCAGGAGATTTTGCAGAATCCAAGCCTGCACCAGCTTTTGAAACTTCCAGTTGTCCTTATCTTCCTTCCATTGCTGCACATATGCCACAGCATATTCTGGGGATGTTTTCTTTGTGGAAGAAACTGCAACCTCTTTATGTGCATTCAACTTTTCTTTCTTCACTCGCTGCTTCCGCTTTTCCCTTTTCATGAGTTTGTTAGCTTCCTTAATTTTTTTCTGCTTTTCCTTCTGAGCATTACTCTGATTTTTTAGCAGCTGCTCTGATATGCTCTTAGAGACAATTGGGAGTGATGTGTCTGCTTCAGCACTGGTGTCATGTGCTATTTTTCTTCGCTTTGCAGACTCTGCCTTTTCTCCCATGGTTGCCCTTGCTTGCTAGTCAACAGTGTTGACATAAACCTGTGGGAATCACTTCACACCACCTGGAACCAGAGCATAAATTTTTGTGAGCATTATTTACTGCCAACTGTGAATAAGTATGGTGGAAAAGAACAATGCCAAATTGTTTTATCTTGGAATGGCTGTTGCTGATGAAAAAGACAGTGACCAATATAAACATGAAATGAATGAAACTAATTACTGTGCTCAGCTAACCTAATTTAAATATTTATGGTGCATTACAGTTAAGTGCAATAAGGGACAAAAAGTACAGCATTACCAACTTACACAACATAATTTCCCTTCCCTTTCCTTGATCCTGATATCACAACCACAATGATATTGCTATCATCATCATAACTGATGCAATGGCCAGGTCAATTAAGCTCCTACTTTGCAAGCAGGAAATAAAATTTGGCAGCTACACATTGTAGTGCTTATGACCACATAAATGATAATATTGGGGAATTCTGATCTTATCCATTAAAGGTCAAACATGGTCACAATATATCAAGCCAATAATACTGGTAGCTGAAAATTACCTGCATTATAGCCTGGCTAAGTTTAAGCCAAGCTTGACCAAATGGGCCATGCACATGAACAATGCCTGAAAAATTGCAACAAGTTAAAAACATAATGGTGGGGTACTGCCATCTTTGTAGACAACCTCAGGTCTGGGACTATTCATACACTTTCAGTAAGTTAAATGAAATTATGCACAAAATTCATGCCTTCCTTTCACCCCACAACGCTCGTTACCTTGGACCGACTCAGTCTTAAGGCATTAAGCCTAGTGCTATAGCCTCGGATCGATACGACACTACACGTGCTTGCCGAAATGTTTTTTCCTGCCCCCTAAATGAAACTCCTGCATCATGAATGCCGAAATTTCACGGTACTAATAGACTGCTACGCCAAAACTGATTGCCTACGCAACTAGCTCATTTATCCCGTTTGTGCTTGATATATCAGCAATATAGACCATTGGGATTCTGCATAAAATAAAAAAGAATGGCATAAGTGCACAAATATTTGGGGTAAACATAAGAAACATATCACATTTCCTACAAAAACTGGCTGCACACGAAGGTGCCAGCTGGCCTTGCCCCGCCGGGAAAGCCTTGATGCATCAGCATCGTGCAAAGGAGGCAATTAAATATACGATTTGTCATAGGTTGGGTCAAGGCCATCTAACGGGTTGGGTCGACGGTTGGCTTTTTGCCGTGTCCTGTAGCTATATGGTGTTGTGTCATTAGTGCTGTAGATCGGTGTTTGCTGTCGCTATCGTAATTGCCATGGCTTGAATGTAATTTATAATCCAATGAATAAAATGTTTCTGTCTGGTAATTAGTGTCGTGAGGAAAGTTCATTGATATGCGACGTTTTTGTTATATTTAGGTGAAAATATCCACATTTACTACATGAAATAGGCATTGCATTAAGCAAGTGAGATAAATCATGTCATGAACATAGATGGTGAGGCACAGTTGACTAAATAGCCCTCTAAGAAGGTGTGTTTGGTTTGATTTAGCCTAAGGAGTAACAGCTAGTTATTTTTCATTCATGGCAGACTGACTGAGGTGAGCCATGCATTCATTGGCTTGGTGTGTTATTTAAAAGCAGCTGTGGTTTTAAATGTCAGGCAAATTTGGCTTGCATTCTGTTAGGCCCTCTCAGAATGGCTGTGCTTGAGGTGTCTTGATTATATATGCAAATCTGCAGGCTGCATTATTGGTATATTCAAATTCATACCTTGATGAGAATAAAAAATGTAATTTATCATGTACCAAGTTATCTGCACAGAATTGTGGGGGAAAATGAAAATATTCTGATAATGCTAAGTTTTGGATTTTTTGCACTACTTGAAACAGCCATGTATGAATGCTGTTGTCTACACTATTGCAGTTTTGCTGGGAGTCTGCATGCACCATACTTCAACCAGACTGACAACATTAGCATTCCTAGGAAGTACTGTAGTTCTGTGGGTGTTTGTACCAACTGAGGCTTGGCCATTTCAGAGAGAAAAAAACACTTAAACTTGCAGGTCATCTCCATGTTAAAAATGGATGCAGATTGCAGTGATACTGCCATTATACCTATCTTGCCTACATGTTGTTTCATATGCAACTCATCTGAGGCTGAAACAGATGTGAACCATTCCATCATTGAAGACACAGGTAAGCAATCAATAGCATGTTCACCATATGAAAAAATGTTGTCACCTAAAATTAATTTTGGGAAATCTTCACACTTCTTGCAGTACCTGTCTGAAAAGGGAATGCAGAGCATCATAAATAAATAGCATTTATACTGATATTTACAAAACAATGTTATCTGCTGTGTCTTGTTGGTCATGCATTCTGCAAGTATTTGCAATTATTATAAATGTCAGGTGATGTTTCCTGGATCTGCTGTGAAGACAGCTTTAAGGCTTTTTTGCAGCTCCCAATAATTTTTCATAATATACTGAATAAAAGCTATTCTGAATAAGCACCAGGCCTTGCCAGATAGCTGTACTTTATACTCTTCCTTACAACATATGTGTTTTGATAGTCTGCAACTAGTATTTACTGCCATCTGTCTCAGCTTGTCACCTGTTTGGGCGCCGACCACTGTGCGCTGGTGTCTGCAGGCTCCTCACTGTCAGAGCTGGTCCAGCTGGTGCTGCCGGACAGCACAGACGAGCTGCAGCTGATATCGGCAGTGTGCGCCTCGTGCGTTGGCCTGTTGGCCGAGTATGACCAGCTGCGGCTCGGCCAGGCGCGCCTCGCTGACCACGTGCGCAGCCAGTACGCCTCCAGCCAGCTGGCGCGCTCCTCGCTCGACGTCATCATAGAGATGGGTGACAACCGGGTGACGGTGCCGTACGGTGTGTACCGCGAGCACCGCGCGGCCGGGCCGACGGACGCGCCCGCTGTCGCTGAGGAGCCGGCGCCACTGCCGCCGCCGCCGCTTTCCCCTCCACGGCCACAGCCGTCTGGCGTCGCGGAAGCGGCGGCCGCCGAGGCGCCGCCGCCGGCAGAGCCTCTGCCGGCGGCCGACTCGCTCGACCTGGAGATCCACGTGCAGGGCGGGCGGCTGTGCCACGTGTGCGACGCGAGCTTCGGCACGTTCGGCGAGCTGGCGCGCCACCTGCGCGCCGCGCACCAGCTGAGTAGCAGCGAGATCCGCGCGGTGGCGCTGCGCGCGCCGCCGCCGACGGAGGCGGCGCCGGCTCGGCCCGGCCGGCGGCACGTCGCTTGCCCGCTCTGCGCTGGGCAGCGCGTGTTCGCCACGGCCGAGAAAGCGCGCGCGCACCTGCTGCTGCGGCACCGGTCGCGGCTGGCAGCCGGCGCGCCGCTGCCGGCCGAGCTGGCGCTGCACCTGTGCCGTCAGTGCGGCGCCGCTTTCCGGCGCGCCGACATGTGCCGCAAGCACGAGGCGACGCACCGCGCGCAGGTCAGCGCGCACCGCTGCGAGCTGTGTGGCAAGACGCTGTGCTACCGGCACGGCCTCAAACGTCACCTGCAGAGCCAGCACGGCCTGGCGGCTAAACACCCGGTCGTGGTGCGCGCTGCCTGGCCCAGCCGCCGCCCGCACGCCCTGTGACCAGTGCGCCGAAGTGTTCGCCGACTACGGCAAGTACCTGTTCCACTGCCGAAGCGTGCACCTGCAGGAGCCGGACGTCGGCTTCGGCTGCGAGTCGTGCGGGCGCCGCTTCGAGAAGCGCTCCGAGCTGCGGCTGCACCGCGAGACGCACCAGGACACCAGCTACTCGTGCGTCACGTGCGACAAACACTTCAAGACGCGGCTCGCCTACCAGAAGCACGCGCGCGTGCACAGCGGCGGCGGCTGGCGCTGCGAGCACTGTAACAAGGTGTTTGACACGCGGCCCAATCTGGCCACCCACCTGCAGACGCACTCGGCGCGGCGCGCGCACGCCTGCGCCGACTGCGGCGCCACCTTCAAGTTCGGTCAGACGCTGGCACGCCACCGCGCCGTGCGCCACTCGGGCGCCACGCCGCGCTACGTGTGCGACGTTTGCGGCAAGGCGTTCGCGGTGGAGCACAGCCTGAACCTGCACCGTAGCCGCCACGGCCCAGCCACACACTCCTGCCCGCGCTGCCCGGCCAAGCTGGCCAACCGGCCGGACCTGCAGCGCCATCTGCGGCGGGCGCACGGCGGCGCCACCGTCGACCCGCTGCAGAGGGCGCTGCTAGCGCTCGGCTCGAACGCCGCCGACGCTGGTCCGGTCGACGTCACGTTCGAGGTCGACCTGTGATGCTGCCGGTACGCGTTGTGCCCGTGCGTGGTGTTGGAGTGTGGCAGGGTGCTGTGCTGCAAGGGGCTGTGATTTTTTTGGTGTATATTGTCAACATTGTGTGAGATATATTTTGTACCTGTGATTTCAGGCTGCTTAAACGGCTGCATGATTTCAACGTCGAAGCGTTCCATAAAGTCAGTTTTTTTGCGAGCACTTTCATCATTGTTGTCATTTGTTGCATGGGAGCTCACAGTCAGACCTCAGAGCAGTATGAACATGAATGTTTTTGTAGCCACTTTCTGAAATGCCAGCAAGAAGCAGGAAATGCATTAAACAATGGGTGAGCAATCTGGATAGTACTTGGCTGTCATGCAAGGATCGCTGGGTTATCGGTGTGAATCAGCTGGTGTGAACAGCTGAGCAGGGCTAAGATATTCTGGCCTGTGATGGGAAGTACACATAAAAGTTGGGTCTCTGAGCAGATTGAAGGAAGATGCAGGTCAAGACGCGTTCTGTCATTGGTATAGACGCATTTTCATGAACTTTGGGCTACTGTGGGCTCGCTTACCACCTGCTCGCACCATTCATGATGGAGGCAATGAACGTCTCTTTCGCGCGACCCTTGAGTTACGAGTCAGTAGGTTTGAGGCCGCGAACATTTGGGCAGCCTGCAACGCCCAGGACGCCTGGCTGCTGCCGCCTATTCCACTGTCTCGGTGTATCTATCTTGAGGGTCTTATGTCTCATGGAGCCGGGTGCCTTTTCAGCTCCCCTGCGGGTTATGACGTGACTGTTTCGAGGCGTCTCGGTCGTATGCAATCCTGAACGTCCAGAACAGTTCCTCACTGTCTCAGAAGTCTGTCTATCCATTAAGTGTGAAACCAACGCCAATATCATCCCAGCTCGGCCTGACCGTCAAGGACCATGGGTAGCGGGGGGAGGAGGGCACTGGCGTAGCCTCACAAACTGATTTGGGGGGAGAGCAAGGGGGCCCTGACCAGGGCTAAATGGCGCAAACCCTAGCCCCCAAAACGCAATCAATAAATGCGTTTCTCGAACACATTTGACCCACTTTCTCCCCTTCTCAAAGTTGGAGGGGCGAACTTGAGCCCAAATTGTGGTGTGTGGGGGGGGGGGGGGGGGGGGGAGGGAGAAGGCTGATGCCCTTCTCCCCAAATGAGTGTAAACTTGCGCTCTCGGAGGGGGCCGCTCCCCTCCCCGTGGTACGTGAGGCAAGGTTTTAGTCATTAGCCTATGGTAGAATGAGGACATTGACCCGGGAAAGCCGGTTTGGCTCTCCCTGTTTCGGCACACCTCTACGCTCTGGTTCCTGCTTCGCCACCGCGTTTAATGCTCAGCCGCATGCACGCACGTGCACGCTGTGATTCTGTTTAGCACGGTTATTCCTATTTCGAGGGCGTTTGGGAGAAAGAAACGGCAAAATATGATGTTTCATATCGACGCCAAAGATGCAGTGCGGCGCATATTTGTTTCGTGGTGGGAGGTCAGCAGCCTTGTTTGGGAGCAAAAGTGGCATTGTTTGAGAGAGGGTATTGGGCGCGGGTGGTCACGTTTCTTTCTGCAATGTGAGAAGAATAACTGGTTTAGGACGAGCTGACCTTGTAAATTAGACACAGCTGGATTATGAGATTGTGAGATGCTTGCCTAGCTGGCCTTGTCCAGATATAGGTAAGTGATCGTACTGCCCCAGGTACAGACCCGCTGGTGTCCAACAAGACAGCCGGTCCCTTCTTTGACTATAAAAACATAGGTTTTTTGCATGAAGATCAATGCGAATATGAACGGTTCAGTTGTTAAATCAAGCACCTGGGTAACCAGGGCTCGATTCTCTGTGGTGCCCACCATTTCCACCTGGATGAGACAATGCCATGTAGCCTCAGCATTGAGTGCATTATAAACCCCCAAGACAATAGTGAAATCGAATGCAGGACCTTCTTAGCTTACGGTGTAGGTGTACTTTCCTACCTGACGTTAGAAAAAAATCACTGCACGCCATTCGTCGGTTTAAGGCAGCACATATTGTAATAATCTCAAAACAGGTAGAATCATGCTCTACCTTCGAAGGATCTTGTTACTTCGCCCGGTACATTTTTTATGGTTCTTGATGCTGCTTGATGCGCAGTAATGTTGTGACCCGCGCAGTAATGGCGCCGGGTGTCACGGGTGCTGTGTGTGCGGCGCTCGGGAGCTCGCCATCATAATTATAAAAAATTGAAGGCAAGATCATGAATCTACCTGTTTTGTGATTATTTACGATATGTCCTGCCTTAAACATGACGAATGGTTTACCTTGGTCCTGTACATTTATAGAGTTCTTGGTAAGCAGA